ACATTCCCAGAACATACCATGAACATTCAGTGTATTAACTCTGACAGATTCCTGGGACATGCATGGAATGTTCATAATGTAACTCATGTATGTCCTAGGAATATGCATGTACATCACATGAATGTTCCAGGTATATTCTGGGAATATCATTTTGCTATGTGGGTAGGGATGGGAACTATCGAATTATTCCATAGTTGCACTCCATTCGAATTATTCCACAATGGTGGTCTTGCGGTTGACACAGTTTATCAGGAGTTCTGTTTAATTCATATTGTACTCTTAAAATATATGTTTCTCTTAAATCATATTTTCATTATCTTCTTGGAGATCCATTGAAACGACGATATTATTTCCCAAACAATTGTCTAGATAAGAACGCCGGAACTTTGACGAAAACAAACAAGGTCAAATGAACTTCTTAAACTTCACTTTCTAACAACATATTCAAAACAAATCTATTTCTTAAAGAATCTCCCGAAAGTCTTATAAAGTAAATTCATATTTTGCCTTAATTATATGAACTATTTGGCATTTTGTTTCCTTTCTGTTGGGAATTAGAGATTGCGGCCACCAATATGTACAGAGAATATAAATAATTAAAACAAATTATATTTTCTTAGCTAATTACTCCGGTCACGAGTTTGTATAGGACTCGAAAACTTACTGGCGGGATAGAGATAGCACCCTTAAATGCTAATGCGTGGGTGAAATGTTCGGGGGTGCGGATGAACAAAATGGATTAAGAACAGTTCCGAGGAAAGCACACCCGTAAGCGGAACTAAGATCATCAGGGACAGAAAACTTCTTTGAATTTTTTTGGGCCATCTCAGGCTTTTGTTTGGGACGAGATTCAGTCGGCTAGACATAGATAACATACAATCTATGTATATTGTCCGGTCTGTTTTGTTCTATTTTATTTGCTTGTTTTCTTTTACTTAGGAACGAAGAGACAATCAACCAAGTGGTAGATTTGTGGCTGGGACTGTTCACTGTTTCAGGGTGGTACCACAGCTTAAATGATATTATCATGATATTTAAGAGATTTAAGATATTTAAGATGAGGTGGTACTACTAAAAATGCTACTCAGTATACCTTTTGCGCAATACATTTTTGTTGCGCATCCACTAATCTGTCCAATATTCTCTATGATATCAGTTTCGTTATTTTCATGTGTTAGTTATTAGATTACGAAAATGCAAGCAGAGAATACGGGACACCCTATTATCTGCTTGCATTTTTTCTCCGAAAATTAACGAAGAAACAAAAATGCAAGATAAGCCTATATTAATAGAAAAAATATAATACCAGCAAGAATCCAAGCGAGACAATTTAACTTGGTGTTAACAGAATCCTCGAAGAGTAGAAGTAGTTACATTGAGCCGAGATCAAGGAAATAAATATAAATAAGTAGTTAAAATTAAAACAGGTACTGGAAGGTAAATAGTTGCTATGATGAAGGAAACATATTCCGATTTAAGCCCATAGAATAATACAGGATTCGCAATAAGAAAGTCACTATTTTGTAAACTATCAATCTAACCTCCTTCAATCGACTTCTGACTCGACTAAAACTCTGAATTTATAATATTTTAAACTGACTAAAACTATAACAAATGCTACTTTTTCAGGCACAAGATGTTGTTTCGCGCAAATCGTTTAGTGTTTCCATTAACAAATACCCAACTTTTTTTAAACTTTTCCTGCATTGATGATTAAAAACAAATATCTTGATTAATTCGCGTAAAGGTAATTAAAAAAGAATTTCAAATTGGTACAAGTTACACCATTAAGTAAAACTCATTTGAATCGTGAATGCCAATAGTTGCGAAATAACACAGGTTTCAAATAGCGGCATCACTTGCTAAGCTGAAATTCGATCAATAATTCCAGTAGTACGTACTTTTGCACACAACGTTAATTTCGCAGACAATCAGATCTTGAAGCATTTTGGAATACGCAAGGGCAAACCAAATAATGACACTGATATGAAGTGTGAAAGACTAACTCACCGCTACTTGAATGTCTTTTAAACCTAAGTTTTAGCTGACTAGGGTCGGTGACGTATTTCTCACCTTGCCTGCGCCTTCGCAGGCCCGGGGTCAGATCTCCAGACCAAGACATACACTTGGCCAGCCGTTGGCCACCACTAACAGAGATCGGAATTTTCGATATTCGCCCTCCTTCCATTGCAGGACTAGTCTGTAATATAAAAATAAAAATCATTTTCAATTCCGTTTAATCACGGTTAAATTTAACAGTTAATTATGTACATCTTCCTTAAAAATGCATACTTATTGCCTCGTAAGCAAAGAGTTGGAAAAAACTTCATTGAACAAAAAAATACAATTCTAAGCTTGGTCGGCGTGCAAAATAAAAACTGTCTATATTCAAACAGTCAATAAATAAAGCAAACCTCATAGTTCTAGGTAAGTAAGCAAAAGTTTCTCTCAATTGACCTAATAATAAATGTAGTAAAATTGTAAATACATGAGTGGCAAGAAAAAGTTCTCACCGATGATTCTCGCAAAATTTGACTAGCGTTATCTACACCACTATCTTCATCATCCAGTTCATGCCTTTTGTCTTTTTGTGTTGGGTTTTCAGTCGCGTCGAAGTACTCGGATTGCTCTTCCATGCCCGGGCTAAGACCGTTGGCGATGGAACGTTTCTCCCTTTAATAGAAGACAATAAATAAATATCATGTATGATAAATAAATGTATGTATCATGACTACGGACATAGACTGGGAGGCAAAATAACAATTTACAGGCAATGTTTTAACAGCCAGTTACCTGATTGGCGAACGAATATTGCATTCCTATGGCTTAATTAATTGCGAAATGTATAGTTTGTTAAATAATACAGGAACTTGAGACAGTGACGTTGGATTCATTCTGTAGTTCACGGATTAATGCATTATTAGTGTGAGCAAAGACAAGTGAGAGTATTAACACATTTACATAGGATTAAGCACACATACTAACTGGGTTATTTGACGTTCCACAAACCAACGGAGAGAAGATAGTCACTTCCCTCTGAAAAAATTAACTATATTTACAAACTTAACGAAATCCGCAAAAATCTACAGTATTTTTAAACGGGACACAAGCAAAAACATAAATTTAACAAACATGTCACATCTAACCAACAGACATACATCTATTATCAAAGATTAAAATTTAAAACAGAACACCATTTACCTTCTTTAAAATCAATAATTAATAGAGAAATTTATCCAATAAAAAATAGTTTCAAGACATAAGCAATACTCTAATCTTTGATAATAGAAAAGGAATGCTGATTTCTGGAAATACCTTAACTCTGGAATGCTTGAAGCTGTCACAAATGTTACGTTGGGATTTGAACTCAAGTCCACGCCTGGCGAACACCTTACCATACCATCATCGCCACGTTTTCGCCCATTTTTATCTCTATCAACGAGTCGTTGTCTTTCCTCATCATTCGCTTTCTCTTTTAAGCCACCCCCCATGTCCTAAACATATAAACACTTTTTTCAAACTAAAGCAAAAGCGAGATTTAATTTAAAAAATGTCTGCCTGATTGTGGGCATGAAAGAAGAATTCGTACCTGGAATTCAGTCAATATTCAGTCAATATTCTACTTTTTAAGCAAAAAAATTTGGAGCCAGAAAGTGCGTTTTTTGCCGATATCTATTAACCAATTAACCCAAGCACCTCAATAAACACCTTTCACCAATCAGCATCACGGTCACCGCCCAACTATTTGCTCTTGGTAACACACCATTTTATCATGAACAATTAAGCATATTCTAATTAACGTCATAATCACTGGTTAGTTAATCTACATATCTAAAATATGTTTACCAATGACTTAGAAATCTTGACTTATAATTTTGCTAAACGATTATGACGCGCTTTGAAATGGAATTTAATTCTTTTATTGAAAAACCCTGCGGTACATCAATAACTAATAAGGTCAAATATATTTTTTAATTCAAAACTAACGAACAATTTGAAAAAGAACGTAATTTAACTATATTTTGAAAATTTCGTAGTTGCTGAGCAAGCCGTCGGAAACTTTATAAGTAAAATCCCTCTTGCGCAAAATGGCCTATAAAAAGTCACATAATATACTTACTTGAAATGACTTTGGGATCAAAATCCGTCAAATCCAAGTATAAAATTGTTCAATTTTCATATTCATCGTTATTTGGTACTTACGGATTTAGCTTGATTGGTCCCAGAAGCTCCTGAACTGCTCTCAGATCGAGAATCCGCGCCCCGATTATTCAGTAGACTGGATAGAGCCTTGTTGCTTGGAACAGACTTCAAAGATTGACTGCGCATTAACGTTTCTATAGGTTCGAAATTCAAGTTGGAACCTAAATGAAAAACCGTTCTTGGTAATAAAATCGACTAATTCTAATAATGCTGTTTTTCTTCTTTCTAATGTGCTGTAGTGTACTCCTGTTAAAAAGTCAAAATTCTTACCTTGTTTACCAAATGACGACTTCCTTCGCTTATCGCCTCTATCTTTATAATCAGTTTCAGTACTACTGCTTTCAGTTTCAACTTTTTTGACATCTGTTCCAATTTTTTTATCTATCGTGCTGCTTGCAGTTGGCCCTGTACTTTCCCTGATTAAAATTGATCAAATTAAACACAACACTTAACACATAACTTCATTATGGATAAAGAAGAAACTTTCCTTTAATAATTGTGGTTTAATTTACAAGTATTTACTTGTTATGTAATTTATTGACTGAAGTTCAACCAGATGACTAATTTCCAACTCAAAGACTCGGACGGAAAGTTCGTAGATCAGGAACAAGAATGCAGAGAATGGGAGAGGTATGAGACCTCTTCGACGATGCCAACTGAGAAAACAGGACACACACGATCTGTGACAACGAGATAGACAGAGGCCCCCGTATACTGAAGGCAGAGGTCCAGAAAGCAGTACAGCAAGTAAACAATAACAGGACGCCCAGACTAGACCAACTTCCTGCTGAACTGCTTAAACTTCTAGACGAAGAGAGCATTGTTTGTCTAACTACATTTTAAAACAAAATGTACAGCGAAGGAATACTACCAGACGATTGGCTAGAGTCCCTCTTCATAACATTACCGAAGAAAAGTAATATTTCTACTACGCGAAAGTAAAATGAGTGACAAACAGTTCGGATTTAGAAGTGGTCTTGGGACCAGGGAGGCTATATTCTGCATGCGCGTGTTGCTCCAGAAAAGCTGTGAATTCCTTCATCAAATACTAAAATTGCTATGTCCTACCGCCGAGCCTTTTTAACCTGTACTCAGAAGAAATATTCAAGGAATCTTTAGAGACAGCCCGGAGTGCGTAAGACTCGGCGGAGAAACAATCAACAATATTCGATACGCTGACGATACGGCCATTATGGCAGAAACTCTAGAATACATCCTACATTAATAATGATTCTAACATTAATAAATCTAGTGAATGAAACGCATGAGAGGTCTCAAAATCAACACTGCAGAAACAAAGTGGATGTCAGCCGGAAAAATTAGTAGGCATAAGTGGCAGATTGCGAATGCGGACTCTGATGAAGAAATAACAACACGGATTGAAATATCACGCAAGGCGATGTTATGTGTGGTCTGTCCTACTGCTGTATGACTGCGAGACATGGACGCTAAAGGCCATAATAATGAATAGAATAGAAGCATTTGAACTATGGTGCTACCGTTAAATTCTCAAAATACCGTGGGTCTCGAATTCTACAAATGAGTACAAACAATAACTAATAAAGGTACATTTTTCTTATGATTGAAGGACTAATTAATTGATTAGCTGATAATAATTATTAGTTATTCTATACTAATGGAGACTGGTACACCACTTTGAGGAGTGTACTTTGGGTAAAAACCTTTCACATATTTAATTGATTGAGTTATTCATAAAATTTACAAAAAACCCTATTGTGGAAATTGCGCCTTCTGTGGAACAACACTAACAGTCGGCAAATTTTGTAATTATACAGTGCAGAATAGCAAAACGCAATCAATACAAAACAACTCATTGATTTTTATAGTTATCGGGCTGAGATCATATTTAGCACCTAAACCAAATATGACACCTCAAGTAAATAAGTTAATTTTCTCTTACTTGTTTAAATCTGTTGTATTGTTCCCTGCAGGGACATCGGCGACATCGCACTGGATCTCTCGATCTGTCTCGTTCTCTCTCCTATGTGTGCTGGCATCAACTTGACTGACTGTCGGAGGTGGCGACCGAACTCTTGGTCTTGGAGACTGGCAGGCCTGAAAGTTGATTACAATTCTTATCGGTTATCTGAATGTGAGACATAAAACTATGCCATTCTCGATAAATCACTGATGAACGAATTTACGTACTTTATCTTTCTCTTTTCTGTCTACCAGCCCATCGGCAAAAATAACCACTTCTTTCCTAGGGCTGCCGATTTCTCCGCCAGTTCCGCCCTCTTTACTGCTCTGTTTCAAAATACTTTTTGTTCTTTCTACCGGTTTCCGCTCAGGCTTTTCATGGGAGCCAATTCTTTCTAACGGTGGATTTTGCCCAGTGCCGTTTTGAATTGCCACAGTTTTGGTCGCAATTGGTGGAAGTGACTGAGGCCGCACCGTGATTTGCGTTGAATTAGTGGTCGCTTGGTAGGTAGTAACGCTAGTGTCGGAAGGCGGTTTTGGCACCACGCGAATTTCCAGTTTGCCTGCCACCTATAACAAACGAAATATTCTAGCTAACTGACATCAACCTTTAAATCATAGAAAGTGAATGGTTCGAAATAAAGCCAGCTTTCATTTATATCCTCCGTATCTAGCTGTAAATAAAAACAATCAAAATTTATTACACCTGGCTTAATTGTAGTGATGCACATGTTATAAATGATGAGTGTTCAGAAATCTTCGAGAAAACTAGTAAGTAAACAAGTTAATTATCGATAACAGCAAACGGTTTAAAGGCTAGTGGTACAACCATATACAACTACGCAAATTAAGCTGAGGAGGTTTAATGAGTTTTGTTCCCTGATTCGTGTGGTAGAAAAATTACAAACGTCTTTCAAAAACACTAATTGAGCTGTCCGAGCAATTTCAGTTAATAGAAAACGTTTAGTTTATATTTGTTAATTTGTGTCAACACCCGCCTTCTTCATATAATGTATATTTTTCCTTGTAGGGTTTATCTGTAAATTTCAGCATTTTACATAAAAAAACGAAAAAGTACCCCAATAAAGTTCAAAAGTTTATTTCGATCAAAAAGATATTGAAAAGTAATCGAAGAGTATAAAATAAATATACCTAGAATCAGATTGAATGAAATAAATACGTTTCGATGAGAACAAAAATATTTAATATTTATTATCATTTTAAATTCAAAGAACCACATCAACAACCCGCAAAGTAGAAGATCAATTTTATTATAGAACCGGATTATTTTTGAATCAATTGGAGGATATAATTAGATTAACAATTAAAGATACCAATGTTTACATATTTTAATCTGATACAATCCAACTCAAACGTTCTCACCTATTTTCACATAAAATTATCCTTGAAAGCAAATCATATGGTCTTACCTCTTGCAAGCCCTCATCTACATTCTCATCCTCTCTGAAGTCTTGTTTTTCAGCTAGCTCAACCGCCGGCAAGCTGGTCCAAGTCTTTTCGCTGGGAAAGTGTCCCAATTCCGCATTGAATTTAGGCACCTCCGCATTCTCCTTTGCCTGTATTATATGCTTGGACGCAACGTTGCGCATTACATCCATTCGGAACACCAAATCGTCGAAAGCCGCTTGTTGCAGAAGTGGAGGCTTAAGAGCTCGACGGATTCTAGGCCCAAGAGCAGGACACGACCAAGCTCGAGGAAGAGCACCTGTAACAAAGTTGTCCAGTTGTCATTGCTTTGTTTTAACTAAAAAAAGTTACATTATCAAATACTTCTTTCCCAGATTTAAGTCTTCAATTCTACAATAAATAAATTAAACAATCATAAAAAAGTCAAGAAAACCTAAATGTGTAAAAGCACGTAAGCAAAATCTATAATTGTACCAATATATACAATGTACGACATGGCATGTATGTATAATAAATAATAAAAATTTCAATATAGGCAATTACGCTTTCAACTCCTTATCGCAGCATTCAATCAGAAAAATACGGGGTGAGCCGTTCATTTACTCAATTAAACAATACGTTGACAAACTGAATACATACATCAATCGCTCATTATTCAAAAACTGTTAAATTTCACGTTCTAGTGTATATTTTTCCATCATTTCCAGTAAAAATATAAATTTTCAAGTTTCAGTATTACGAAAAGAGTTTACGCCTATAAATTTTGATATAGAAACGTTTCCAATTGCAACAGAAAAATCATAGTTTAATAACAAATAGGATATTCAATCTTCAAAAATGTAGCATTTTGTTGGCATCGTGTATGTTCTGTTAAATTGAACAAAGTAAAAATTGTTTTATCAATCGCTATAACTTCCACGAAAAAATATCATAGCCACCCAATCTATGCTGTGGATTGGAAAATAGTACATTCCATCCGAATTTATTGATCATTGTTAGTGCATTTAATGTTTAAATGGGATTTAGAGATTATGTTAAAATTAGTGATCAAATATAACGTACCTACTCCTCTTCGTCAAATTTGATTAGTCAATAGTGCAAAAATCACGTTCAATGCGGATGTTCTATATTTTTGGAAATTGAGCACACGAGTGCTAAACGCTAAATAGTTTGACATGCAATAGATAAATGTAGTGTAAGCAGCGAAATTACAAACAATATAAAATGTTTAGTGTTCCTGATAGTGCGATAATAAAAATGGTACTAATTTTCATATCAATTCACTAAATGTTTCGGCAATAATTCAGTAAAGTCATTGGACTTCAGAATTAGGCAAGCTATTAATCAGTGCTAATTCAAAGAAAGCGTGCGCAAATAAAGTTAAATATTTAAATCTAAGATTACTTCTCAAATCTAAAAGTCCCAAAGTAGAAAGTAGTAAAAAGTACAATCCAATCTCAAACTAAAATTAAATTAATTTTCTTTTGATTTTTACTCATAAGCGATGACCATTACATGTTTCCCTCAATGATAATTTTACGTCCAAAAGTTCAGTTGGTGTTAAAAATAAATAACAGAATTAATAAATCGAAGCAACCATAAATATGTAAATAACAATTGGAAATTCTCTATTATGCATGTTAATTATTTTAAGGTATTTACCTTGCAGAAGCCAAAATAAAATTGTAAGCGGTCGTTTCAAACAATATTCGCAACTGGTTCGTGGTCTAGAAAATCTAAGCCAGAAATCAAACAACTGTTGGATGGCGACAGGGAAAACAATCTATAAAAATAGTCGTAACGTAGGGGCTATAAAATTTCGGAAAACACTAACGATTGTTTGAAAATCGGAAAATATTCGATATGTATAAAAATAAACAAGAACGCGCGTGGAACTCTAGTTTGGGTTAAGTCGGGTATCAAAAATAAATCTGATAATCCAGTGAGATATCGCAGCTGGCGTCAATTAGAAATAGGTATATCATCTCTACAACTTGTTGATTAAAAACACAAATTCATCGAGGTAACGTTAAAAGCTTATTAATTGTATACAGGGACACCACTTAATATGAAAGCAGTTTTATAATCAACATATGGATTTTTGAGTGTCTAGAATGTTAAAATTAAGTTTCTACGTGAAACTCAGGTTAAATTCAGAAATGAAAAAGTGAAACTTTGATTACGTTTTCATATGCATAAATTAAATGTGTATGTAATTCTTTTCAAAACGAAATATACTTCTAAATAAGTAAATATCTGAACAACAAATCAGCAGACCATTTGATTTGGGCATGTGCTTCGTCGTATTACTGTAAATTACTCGAATTATATATCGAACGTTCGCATGAAGTGAAAAAGACCTTTAAAATAATAAAAATAGTTTTCAAACCTAAAAATCCAAAGTAAATTCGAAGGCTCAGTATTAAAAAGACATCACATTTTAAGACGTTTTATTTAAGAATAGGGTAGAAAAACCGATTGCAATTTGGCTTGCTCAAATGATTACCCAAAATGGCAAAATCATTTTCAGATTCATGAAATGCCTGTCCAGGTTGATACTTGTGAAATCCTTTGATAAGCTATAATTGCATATGATTTTTCAATTGTAGAAAACAACCAAGTTAAAAAATATATTAAAATAACATATCAAGTCACATACATCGCAATTGAGGAATTGCTCCGAAAAAAACTCCTTTAAGCTTCAATTGAAAAAAATCAAAATCACATGTACAACATAAAAAATAAACAGATCCAGTGGTACTAAAACTGGATACAAAATGATTATAATTGCAGCATGCCCAATGGGTCTAGAACTTCACTGGCAGTTGCTCAAACATTCAACATTTATTTATAGCATGAGACACATTATATTGTTAATGTGAGATACCAAAAAAGAAAATGGGTCAAGGTCATCGGTATTAGACCATGACCCGCAAAGGTCAAGGTCACTACAAATGTAGCACGTTTTTACTTGTTTTAAACAACTGGGGGGCGATTCGCTAAATTGTAAAAACATGTATATCTGCCGACAGCAGGTTTATCACATTTATTATCCCTGAATACGTGACATTATATTTAATTTATTACACCGTAATTACTGTAAGATAAACTGGCGCAAGCACAATTCGTGACACTACATATATTATGGATACTTCGCACTAGCATGTTTCGAATCCAATTCCATCACATTCCAGTCAAAGTCCGCTAATACAAACATTATATGATGAAAATGGGTGCAAGAAAAACAACATTCAATTTAAACCACATTATTTATTCGATTTCCAACCATATACAATAAATATCTTACAATTACTTAATATAGCATGTATATACATTGAGTTTAAACAAAAAATAACTGTAACAATAAAAATAACAAGTAAATAAATAGCTTAGTATTACAACATATCCCGCGTTATGCTATGACAATCAGCAATGATCTAAAATAATTTCAATAGTAAATGTATATTAAAATACATTTCTAAGCACCTTAACTGTTTCCTGCCAATCAAAGTGAGAAATATTAAAAGTAAAATGATGTATAAAACAATACGAAATCATTAATCTAAAAGTTAAATCAGTCTAAATAAAATCAGTATCTTAAACTTGAAAATGTTCGAAGCGATCATAGCTTTCCAATAAGATCAAATTTGAAATTTTTTTTGCAAAATTTTAAGTTTGAGCAAGTCTATGCTGTAATTTAAGCGCCTTTTGATGAGCTTTCTCTTGCAGCTGGCAGGATCTGGGTACCATATATCCTTAAATGGCAAAAGGAAGAACAAAATAAGCAAAAAAATAATACAAACAATAACGTTTCTAAACTGCTGCATACATCGCGAAAACAAAAACGTTTCATACTTTATGCTCGATCATCCTAGTGACAATCTTTTCACAGTAACAGTCGGTATCGTTTAGTGATGGGAAGCATCGAATTATATAATTCGAGAGTATTGGACACTGGAAAGACTCGAATGAATTCGAATAACTTTCGATAATACGAGTATATGATACTATCTCGTAGTAGTCGCGAAAGATACGGAAACTGATTCAAGATTACCAACAAAAATGCAAAACCAGACATTTTTTCGGAACGAAACCACTCGAAGTAATAACTGATCTTAAAGTGAGATGAAATAGGAAAGCGTTTTTGGCAGAAAATAATTATATATCATGTTTTTCCAGAGGCTGTCGAAAGAGAAGGAACAGAACAATTCTAAATAAAGAGAAGAGAAAAGTCGATCAGGAATTAACTGATATTAAACAGGGATTTTATAACAAGAAGGAAACAGAGGTTTTATAACAAGAAATAATTCGACTTTTGCGATTTATTGGAGCCTGAACTTGATCGACGGTACAGAAACAAGAGAAACATGCATGACAAGAATTACAAAAATATCAGATACATTTTTTTGCGTGAACAGCGTTGAAAAGTTTTCGGTCATTGATATTACTCCGTTTTAATAAAACAACATTTGCCATTGTGGAATAATAATATACACTTTATTTTGAAAAATTACCCATAAAGTCGTTAATATTATCAACGTCCCTTTTCGGAGTCCTTAAAATGTAAATCGATTCTATTAAATAATTCGAGTTATCATTTCGATTATGTAGCATATCTCGATTATAAAAATAATTCGCTGATTCCCATCACTTATTTAATACATTCATCCGCCAAATAGTGAATGCAGAAAACGCTTTCCTGGTTAGGTTGAAAACGATAAGAGGCAGTTTCCAGCTGGATAAAGTTCCCGAAGCTGAAGTTCTGTTAGGGTTAAAATCACATCGAAGTTCATATGATAACTTGAAAATCTGATTGTAAAGTTACCAGTCAATGAACCAAACAACGTAATCTGAATTCTCCCACTCGTAGTTTAAAAAATTGAATTGGATTTGCTTCTCCTTCGTCTGGTGGTTTGCCGAACAGCAAAATTCTTGTTGCCTTTCTCGTAATCATGCAAATCAAAACTAATCTATCACAGAACGCTATTATAACACTAAGAACACGAACGGCACAGGACACGAATTAAAATTGACACGATATGCTTACGTAAATTAATCAAGGGGACAACTCTCGTCCGATGCGTAGGACAAAATATCCGCTAGAGACGAAGCAAAAGTGGTTGTCTTGTAGCTTCTGCAGCTGAACGGATTCAAAAATGCCCGGAAAAATACCCGTTCGCTTTTGCTCTCGTAAATCGAGTTAAGACCCGCGTTTCTCTTAGAGATGTCGCGAATTCTCACTTTCTTTTTAGTGCCTAAAGGAAATATATTATTCGGGTGTGTAAACCCATGCACAAAATGTCAAGTATTCATGGTCTCAAACAATTTGATAAAATGTTCGTTATATTCCAAAAGTGTAAATGATTTATATGGAATGAGAGCCTAGAAATTTTACTCACTTTAAGAAAAAAATGTATATCAATTCCTTAAATGTTCACACAAAAATTGTAAAAACATTCTACTTATGTTACGATTTTTTGCTTAAAAATGTCATTAGTATTTATAACATTTTTATATTTTGTTATATATACAGCGTCCCGTAAGCATCTGATCAAAACGCCACTGAGACATTCTTTGGCGCAAATAGTTTATTAAGAAAAAATATTCGGTTCCTCTGCTATTGATGGTCAAACAACATATTTTTTTAACGAATTTTGACCATCCACAGCAGAAGAGCCAGACTTTTTTAATAAAAGTTAGGCCCGATCGCCCCTAATCACAGTACGCTTTTGATGAGATGATAACCCATGATTTATTTAGTTAAATAAAAATCTGTCTGGTCGAGAGCAAGAATCCGACAATCAGTTTCACTGTTTTCTAATAAAAAAAATAACTTACCAACGAGTTCAGGGTAATCCTCAATTCCGGCAATGTTCACGTATTTCCTGTGACTAGCTTTCGAGTCTTCGCTTATTTTGCTTAAGACAGCTTGCGTCTGCAAAAATGGTATAAATCAATTAAATACACTGTCGATACTTTAATATAAGTAGAAGCAAGTTTTGCTGCTTGTCTTTGTCAATAAATTGTTTTATACAGAAATATTCAATTATTGAGTTAAAAAAGTAAAACATACCTGAGGTGTTACACCTGCCAATGATTCAACTGGAGCCGCTTGCAAGTGGGACTGGTGAATGGAACCTGCATGAGATCCACCGCCTCGATGATGTTCCGGCGACTCTGGTTTCCATTCATTGTCGGTTGTTTCTTCACTATCATCGAATTGAGATTTCCATTGGCTAACAAGTGTTAAGGCACCTCCTCTTGTTACCTATAACAAAAGCCAGTCTCAGTACCGAAACTCCATAAAAAATAATATATGTAATCATACCTGTTGGCTCACGTTTTCGTCATCCATCACAGCAAATTGAGTTACACTTTGGTCACGAGTCCCTCTCGAACTTCTCGCCGCACTTGGAGCTCTTCTTCGCGGCCGCTCTTGTTCTGGAGTGGCAGGTGACTCTCCTAGACTTCCACTTTGACCTTGGGGAGGAGTTGCAACACGCAATCGGCCCAAAGTAGCAGCTCCCGATTGACTTTTGCGCAAAGGAGCCGGACGAGGAGCATCGGAAGTTGACTTGGCCGAAGCGACAGCTGCCTCATTGTCCAATCGATCTGTAGGTGCTTGATCGAAATGCGAAGTTGCGCGTCGCCTTCGCGCTGGAAACAACAAATAAACCAATCAAACATTGAACATAAGGATTAAAAACAAACTTACAAGTTTGATCAACGGCGGTTGCATTGCAATTTTTATCAACTCCTGGCCTACCAGCATTGGTTTGAGTGTCTGTCGCTAGTGGCGCTGTATTTTCGGCTTCTATCCTTCTTCGGGCATCAATTTGGATCTGCTCGGAATAATTATATTAATGCTTATTAACTGAGGAATGCATGATAATAAGACTTACTTCTTTATTATCCGTAGGTTCAATATTCTCTTGGTTATTCTCAGTAGTTGTAAGTAGTTTGGTGGTTTGCCTGGCTAATGTGGTGGGAGTGGTAGTAGGAGGCTGAACTTGAGAAACTTGACTAATTGGCTGGGAATCTCCTGTGGGTTTCTCCCAGTCAAACGGATCTGATTCCTTAACATTTCGCCGCTTCATGCAACGCTCAAATAATGAGATCAGCATCTGCAATTAATTAGATTGTTAAACTTTCAGAAAAAAACATCAAGCAATTTTCGTTAAAAAGTTAAATACTTACGGCATAATCCGGCTTATCTGCATATTCCAAGCTTTGTATGTGATCCAAGAACTGTTTCAGATCAGAAGGTAAATGTTTTAATAAAAGCCTATGGTCATATTTCTCTTTCATCAGTCCTACTTGCTCCTTATCTTTTACTTTTCGCCACGGTAATTGGCCATTGACGAATTCGACCAGCATATAAAATAGAGACCAAAGATCGTCGTGACGACCCATTTCTGTATGAATAAACCCTTAGTTGAAAAGTACCCTTCTAAATTAAATATCGTCAATTAAAAGCGAAAGTTGATAAAGTTGATAAAATAACTTTAAAAGCTCTTCTCGGAATAATTTTTATCATCAGGCCACTCAATAACCCCACTTATATAGGACGATTTGTAGATAGTTACTTATAAATTATGCCATTAAAATTTGTATTCACATATTCATAAATTAGTTCTTACCTCTATTTTTATGTGCATTTATACTGGCGTACCGAACAGTACCTCGGAAACCTGCCGCCGCTCTAGGTGCCCGGACTTCACCTGTAGTTGTTGTATATTGGCGAGCAAGTCCGAAATCTAGCATATATACTTTCCTACAATTATATGGCAGTCTACCCATTGAAAAATTACTCTGAAATTAAATCGAATAACGGTTTGAGCAAATAGGCCGTGGAAATCTCACACAAAAGGGCCGTTTAATTGAGGATTGACAAGAGAATATATAGCATACTTACAGGTTTAATATCACGATGCAAAAATCCAACTGAATGAATACTTTCAATAGCTCTAAGAATTTGAAGTCCTAATCTCAAAGTTGTGGAGAGGCTGAAGGCCGCTCTGGGTTGCGCCCTACGGAGTTCCGCAAGGTTTCTTCCTTGAAGTTGCATAACTACATAGTTGAATCGGTCGTTCCTACCACAGCCTATAAATCTTTAAAAAAAAATAATTTGATCAGAAAATTGGCGGCTTATTCAAATAGATTGGATAGTACGAAGTGAGTTTGCAATCAATTAGTTGAGTTTCGACTATCTGTGGTGATCAAGGATTTCATATACTGTTTACTGAAACTTAGAAATATGTCATATAAAAAACTTAATAGGTAGGTATTTTACTTAATACAATTTCACTCCTGGGTTAAACGGAAAATTCATTTTTTTCCGAAGACAGGTCGATACTTAGCCGTACAACATGAACATATATATCCTATTTAAAGTTTGTCATATATGATTGCATGCGAAATGACAATAACTTCAAATGGGGACTATATTTAAACTTCTCATTACCTATCGAGTAATTTACCGCATTTATTTAGTATCATGGCAAAATAGTAAATGGCTTGTAGTTATTGCAAAATACGATGTGAGACTTTTCAATATTAGATATCTAATTAAATAACTTGAAATAATAATGAATCCAAATTTACAGTCTAATATAAAAAAATTACCTGCAAATATGTTCTTTGCCTTGCAACTTTTTTAACACAGCCACTTCCATTTTGAGTACTTGCTTCGGTTGTCTGGCGCTCTCTACTTTCAGGGCAACTTGTTCTTTAGTGAGTAAATCTTGACCCTCGTAGATTTCTCCAAACCCACCGCCGCCAATTTTTTTAACAACCTGGAAATAAGCAGTTGGCGTCATATTAAACTATTAATTAACGGCTTTTTATTAAAAACACAAAATTGAATTATATTGTTTGAAATTAAACCATTGCCTTTGTTGTGTCAATCGATTTAATTTAAAATCACTAACTCGCTTAATTTGTACACATTTGGTTGGGTCAAAGTTTGTAATAGCAAAGTTCCTAGGATATTGATATGATGATAAAAACGGGATATTAATTCAATTATAAGACGTAATGAGTTTTTTTAGCAATAATTGATGATTTCTAAATATTGCGCTGCATATTTCTTTTATTAATCACGATGTAATTGTAAAATTATTTGATGAAATTTAACTTGTAATGTAAATAATTTAATAATGCCAAACTAAATCGTGTTAAACCTCGCATGATGCGTCTTTTGCCATAAAAGGCTTCCGATAAGGCGCCAGAGCTTTGAATCACATTTAAACACGCTAATCACCCAATAAAATAACACATTTTTTTCTAATGCAATGTCACCTGTAAATGCAGTTTACATTTCGAGGAATCAATCGACCCATGGAACATCAATCATGAGATCGTAATTACGTGTATGCGATTGTGCATACTAATATTCAAAGACAATGGTATAATGTACAATTTATCTTGGAATAACTTTATCCAGCAGATAATTACTGAATAAGTCCAGTCTACGAGTCAATCAATCGATTGATTGACTCAGACTGGGCGGAATTCAGGAACTTTAAATGATGTTAAATAAATTGTTGATTTTCTGTGATTATTAATTGTTTGGTTTCTTCATTAACTATTGGAGATCTCTCCAATGAAAACACCGAATTGCGATAAGCAAAAAATTAAGCACAATGGGGCCATAAAAATATTCCAAGCTATTTTCTACTTATTATATAATTCCAATTCGCTAGAAAGTTTAACCATTCAAATAAATTACAATTTTCTTCAGGTCTTCCACAAAAGTGCTTTCTTTATTTCTTCATTGAATCAATTTTTAGCAGATAACTAGGTCAATAATTTTGCTGAGAGAATGATTAAAAATACAGATAACACATTTTTTGGTATAAATGCTAAACTCAGTTTTTGTCCATTTAAGCCGCATTTTAATTGTTGATTTTTGAACATTTTTTTAGATTTTATAGAAGTTGAAGCGCAATATATTTACAGGTGGATACAATAGATAAACATTTTCCCGCACTATCGTGCACCTAATATACAGAGTTCTCATCTCAAAAAAGTAGTACAATAAAGATTTAAAGAATTACTTGATCCCTAAACATTAAGAATTTTTTGTCTTCCGAAATTCGTTTTTCTTAGTTTTTTAAAGTTAAAAAAACCTACACATTTTTGGTTGCTTGTTTAAACCCGGAGAGTTTCATTCTTCTGCCATCATAAAGAACTTTGAAACATATTTCCCAAATTTCATTTTTAAGGAAATTTTTGTTGTTTTTTTTTATAGAAAAAACTTTGCTTCGAAGGCTTAAAGTTTCGGTTTTCGCGACTATCAGATTTTTGCGGCGCTTTTTCGCACGTTCGGTGCGGAAAATCACAATTTTTAAATTATTTTAAAAGACGGCGGTTTTCTGAAGCCTAAAAGTTTCGTCTTTTCACTTTCATCAAACAATTTGCACCGCATTCTTTTGACGTTCATTTTCAGTTAGATTTCATGGAGAAAAATTAAAAAAAATAGTTTTTTCGATAGTTTGCTCATTTTTCAAGGAGTTTCTAGCATTTTTTATACATAAATTAGTTTCTTGACTTTAGTAAAAGCTATATATTTTTAAACACACCAAGCTCGTTTTGTTGAAATCCGGAAAAGCTTAAAACATGTTTTAAATGAAAAACGTCGGTTTTTCATCATAAAATGAAATTAATTTGTTTTTTTGACATCACAGATATTTAGATCTTTGTGGTTCCCCGTTCAAAAATTCGTATATCGACATCAAAACAAGTTATAAACCTTCGCGTTGTCGCATTTTATAGAAGACAGTCGGTTGTTTAAACCTGGAGTTTCGATTTTCGCTAGGTATTAGCAGACATTGTGTAACACGTCTCCAAAGTTTGCTCATTTTTTAATGAATTTTGTCTTCAAATACTTTTTATATCCGGAAAAGCTTCAAGCTTTCACTGTTAGATTTTATAAAAGACTTTCTTTTATTTATAAAAGCTTTTCTGGAGAGCAAAAGTTTCGACGTTTTGCTTCGACCAAATACTTTGCAACGCATTTTTAAACACTTAAACTTTGCCCAACTTATGTAGATAAATGAGCCATGTCTCCTTTTCTAATTAGATACTCGCCAAATCGTTCACCATATCCGATCCGATCAAAATCTCAATTTGGCAGCTAATTTAGCTTTTTGAGATTGGAACTGTCTAAGCAAATAAAACTTTATTAAAGTATTCCAGTCATATTAATAAACCTAATTTCGTTGATGAAAATTATATTAAAATGGAACAGTCCCATCGGTACGTCCGATTTCCGATTGTCGGACGGTCCGATAGTGTGGCTAACGTTGGTTAACTTTCGCTATTTACTTATTTAGTTTTGATGTTCCAGTTAGTGTAACTGCATTATTAGAAATCATAATCATGCAAACACAACTTTCAATACGAACCAACATAAAAGGGCTTCTGTTATCATTGTTAGGGATTAAATAAAAGAAAGATATGAAAAATTACAGAACATTTAGAGACATTACAAGGAGCGTATTTTTAATAATTTCAATTTAGGACTTCGATTAGCCGACGAATATGAATATTACTTTTAAAACGAAGTTTTCCGTAGTCCCTACTGAATCAATTAAATCTTTCCGCAAAACATAGAAAGTAAAGGCATGGTGTGACTAAAGTAAAGTATCTCTTCCAATGTAAATTTTGTTTAAAATAAATACCGAGGCGTTCATTTTATTCATATTTCATTGGCTTTGTTACATCAGTAGTGCAATAATGAAAAATTTAATACCGCAAAAATATGACAAATAATAAATAGAGTTTATCGAATTCATGGCGCATAAGGAATGCTGATTTAACAAATATTCGTCGTATCTATAAAGGAGCTGATGATCAACTTCAATCGGATTTTTGCATCATCGGAAAAATGACGTGATTTTATCTTAAGACGGCATTTACACGCCACGACCACATACGAGTTTTCGAAATTAAAAATATAGGAAATTTTTCTTCATATATCCAGTTTGCATTCCATGATAAAAGCGGCATTTGCGTAAGTATGACCACTTTTTAGAAAATTGCTTTCGATAGCACTTTTGAAATCTGCTTTATTAATAGGTATAATATGGAAAATTTTTATAATATGGAAAATTATTCTCACTATTACAACTTTAACAGGGATGCGGGAATTTTTGGCGCAGAAATTTGACCTCAAACATGAGAAAAAAGTGGAAAAACCGGGATAGATCAGATTGTAGTTCCACAAATGCAATAGTATTTTGTCAAAATCTGATGCACAAATATTTTATAAAAAAATATCACAAAAACACGAATGCATGTTTCATATGGAAGTTCGAAAATGTGAAACTGAAAAGGCAACCTTATTTTAAAGTGACTATAGGTTTGTGTCTGCTCAACAACGGAGAGATATTTTCATCTCTTCAATTTATTTTTATTTTGTACATTTTGATTTATTTCTGTTCGATTCGGTAACTAAATGCAGTTTTTTTAAGTTCTGCAGTTACTCACCAAAATGGGACTTTAAAGTATTGATCTTGTGGAAAACTAGTGAATTTCAATGTGTGAAAAGTGGTTCAAAACCGAATATCCAGACGAAATAACACTAAAAAAATTAATTGGTATATTATTAACTTTGAACACAAGAGCCGTATAACTAGAAAATCACCAAACTTTTTGAATTATTATTTGTATAACGTTGTAACGTTGTAATTTTACGTCAATCGATAAATATTTGAAATAGTAAATTTTGATAGGCTGAATTTCTCCATTTTTTGACGGATGTATGGTAATTTTACCTTAGAGCAGCGTTACTCAAAGTGTGCTTTGCGGAGCCCCGGTGCTCCGCAAAGCCTAGCTAAAAATAAACTACCGAAAAAAAACCTACTTATTTGAAACCTACTTATTGATGATATTAAATTTGATAGGTAACCATAATCGGTTGTGCAAGTCTAAATATAGTATTTTCAAAATGACGGCACTTCCGGAATTACCGGAAATCGATGTCATCTTGGGTTTTTTTTAATAGAAAGTTGCCATTTTGATTTCATATTTGGATTCAGCTTTAAATTGTGAGTTAAGAATGTCCATCGGTCAACACTTATCTGTCACAGTTTTTGACTCATGCTATTGTTTGCAAAAAACCTAGTAGCAGGTGTTCATTAAGCAATGCATATTTCCTGAATCATTGCAAATAAATACTTAAATCGGCATTATTTAATTCAATCCTCAAAGGTTTCGCAGAGATTCTGCATCGATTCTGACACTTTTGTTACGTTTCATGCTTCTGTTGCGATTTTCTAAAGTTGACAAGAAAAAAATGACAAAAACTTCACTTTTTAAATGGCTACTAATAGTACTTTAAAAAACTACTATTTCTGACTCCAAAAATAAATGTAAAATTGAATTTCAAGTCTACTTTGATTAACATTGTGCATGTTCCTCTAAAGTCGTTTATGAGTTATTGGCAGTATTTGGAAGAAATTTTATGTTTTGGATATGGAAGTAATCCGTAAATTTGAATTTTTTTTCAGAAATCGTAATGCAGGCATTTTTTCTTTGTTAACTTTGAAACACCGCAACAGACGCACGAATAACAAAAGCGTGAGAATCAATGCCAAATGTCGGCCAAACTTCTGAAAATTGAATAAAAAAATTGGAATGGTCCAAGAGTTACGATTTTTCAAATAAACCTCTGCATCCCAGTTCTTTTGCAATAAATGTGACATATGTCAAAAACCAAGTGTTGACAAATGGACATTATTAACTCACAATTAAAGTTGAATACAAATATGAATTCAACATAGGGACCTTTCATTTAAAAAAGCCAAGATATCGTCGATTTTCGATGTTTACGAAAGCGTAGCCATTTTGAAAAAACTATATTTCAACTTGCAGCAGCCGATTATGTCTGCCTACCAATTTTCATTTCATTCCAAAAAAACCTTTTTTTAATGCTTATTAATAAACAATACACATATAGCTCGTTGTGCTTTTTAGTTTAGTTAGGGTTTAGGGCTCCGTTAAAAATTTAGTTCTTTAAAAGGGTTCCGTCAGCAAAAAAGTTTGAGAACCGCTCCTTTAGAGCCATTAACTATCAAGTAAACTTTTAAAACCATTTTTTAAATTCTAAAGCAAACACATAAAATGAAATCGAGACCCACAATACAATTTCAAATAAATATACACTTTAAAATGTAATCTGAAGCAAAAGTGTTAATAAACGAGATTAACGTTTGTCAGATGTCATTGTAAATGCACCTCTAACGTCAATTGTGAAATGAGCATCAATACGTTGTCAATCGGTCGTTGACATTCAATAATTCGCACTTTTAGTTGGATTGTCCTTAGCAATAAGTGAGTGGGTGATTTTGTGAGTGTTACAGACAGTTTTCCATATTACAAAAAAACTTCCAGATGAAAGCATCTACGAAGCACATAAAGAATAACTCTGCGAGAAAAAGTAAGTGTAACTTTAAAAAATTGTTGACAATGGCTCAGTTTGTTGATACTTTAAGATCATTTTGGAAATCTTCATATTTTCTTATGCCAACGGCCATAAAGAAAATGCTTACACTGGTAAGAGAAAACACAGGACTACATAAAACAAAACAATTTTTACCTTCCATCGCTCTTTAACTACATGCCCCGGTTGCAGCAAATCCTCCGACGTCATTGTTATGTTGTTATTTTGATCAGTTGAGTCCAAGTGATTTTCCAAGCTTAAATTCTTGGCCCTGAAATATAAACGCTCGTTTGAAATGGTAAATCATTTGAAAAAAATTGCTGAATTTGTATTCAAACTAAAACTTCAAAGACCGATCGAATTTCAATTTTAGGCTGCCAACTACACACTCCTTGTATTTGTGCTTGCCTAAAATCGGAGAACTTATAGATGAAACAACTCACAGCTGATTTCGTGTGGCACTTGCGTATTTTCAAATAACAAAACTACTTACGTTGCCGGATCTTTACAAAAGTCCCTAATATGGGTAACTAAATCTTTATTAGATCTTTAAAACTGGATATTTTTCTAGTCGTTGTCTGAGTATTGTTTTGTATCACTGTGGTTATTGAGGTGTAATGCGGGCCATTAATCTCTAAGTAATAATGAGGAAACCGGTTCAGAGTACAGGGTGTTTAGATCTTCAATATATTTTTTCGATAAAATGAGTTTTCAGTTCCTTAAATTCGAAAGATACGTTTTCTTTGGCTGGTAAACATTATTTGTCAAAATGATGTTAGGTAATGGATAGCAATAAAAATAATATTGAACAATGTTTGATGAATAGCGAGAATATTTAGTAAGTCATATATCCAAGTTAAGGAATTATCTTAGCTCTTTTATAATAATGTATTTAAAAAATCTTAATTCTAATCATCCAAACAAACACATCGCTGTTAGTACTTGTAAATGCAGATTATGTAAAACAGGGTCAAAAATAACTCTAAAATCCCTTTGTTGAGTTTGTGTGCTGTTATTTTCAGGCCAAATATTTTGGAGTTGGATAATAAAGTGAAAAACTTTTTATTGCGAAAACTTGACAACATAGCCTCACATTTCCTCCCACGATTTGTTACGCCCGGACTTTATTGATTTTTTCAAATAAACTTTTATCCCAAATCACTTATCTTAAAGGCATAAATACCTTTTATTCCGTCTTTAAGGTCGAGATACATGCGATGTCTCAACGCACAGCTTATTCACCTTTTTATAACACGAGAAAGCTGGGAAATCGCCGTTTAAGGTAAAAAAATGGGAAAGTGACTGGCGCATAAGCGTGTACTGCCACAAGGAAAACATATTAAATAATTGAAATAAACCTAGAGATTAATTAGGAGGCCCTGCTTTGATAATTTGGCCAAAAATAAAGCCGGTTAAATATAGATTTACGTAGTAAAGTGACCTGTCATAGAAAGGTATCATTAAAGCATACCTTTATGAGTTGAATTGTGTACTTTTGTGGAGTTTAACCACTGGAATTTGAACATTTTAATTGCCAGATGCATATTCAAGGATTGGTTAACTGGGTTTGTGTGAAAAAATCTGTTGGTGTTAAGCAAAACATCATGCAAAACGACAAAAAATATTCAAGTCTACTTGCTTGGCATTCGCAGGATCGACAAAAACCAATATTTGTGGCGACAAATTGTTAAATAGTCAAACTATTTCTTCAAATAAGAGTTCGACATGCATATGACATTTTTAGTTGAATTTTCGTCACAATTATAGGCATTATAAGCGTATTTATTCAACGTTTCTTACGGATAGCAGAAGTTTTGATCGATACGGACGCCATTTTTTATTTCACTGCCGTTAACATAGCTGCAGACTGTTCAGCGGACGGACCTGACTTGAAGCGGGAAATTAAATTTTCTCTGCGGATTTATCAACTATTTTCACCGGAAATCGCTCTCTGGGCAACTTCCAAAGAGGTTTTTGGGTCGAAACTTAATGAATTTGACGTTTACTGCACCATAATTTAAAAAAGTGTCAAAATTTAACAGGTAATAACAGTTTGGTTTACGTTTGCTGGTGAAAATTGAGATTTTCCTTGCCGCTAACTTCACGGCACTGTGGAAATTGCCTGAAAAGACGAATTTTCCGGGAGGGAAAAGGAAAGCGCTACAGTTGCGTTCACTTAGAGCAACTCGACTGTAGTAAATTTTCGCGGTGTTTGTGTCGTTTGAGTTTCTCCGACTTTTAAGTTTTTTTTTACCTTAAAGAACACTTCAAATTAAGCAGTTTCTGCGAAAAAATTCCTGGATGGTCTATAAATTAGGCCACAAACTTTTGAAATTCGTGGATAAGTTCTATATTGTTGAGGCGGATTCATTTTCTTACAAACTTCTTTTTGGGTATTTCGCCTCAAAAATTTTTGTCTTTAAAAAAGACAGAATTTTCTCGCGTCTTTTATTACAGATACAGATTTATTTTAATTATTATAAATAATTCGTTCTCATTGCGAAATAGGAGCACTATTTATCAATCTGTAATAAAAGACGTGAGAAAATTCTGTCTTTTTTAAAGACGAAAATTTTTGAGGCCAAATACCCAAAAAGAAGTTTGAAAAAAAAATTTTAAATTCGCTTTTTCAAAACCTTTTATCTATGCACGAAAATTAGATTGTCCAGTGCTAACCGTGTTTTAAGTATCACAATTCATAACTCCACACGCAAAATTGTTGCTTAGATGCATAATAATTGTGTTTTTCGCTAAAATTTAAGCATATTTCCTAACGTCGCCTATTGATTGAGGTTATCAGCTCGTCGATAGTCAGATGAGGGATTATTTGTCTCTTTCGGGAATTCAACATAATGCGGTGTGTCCACTTTTTTGCGTTGTTTTCCTTTCGGTTAATTTTCAGCTGCTTTGTCTGTGTTAGCATGGTTGAAGTGATTTTTTAAATAAAACTGGAAAAATATACAAAGAGTAAAAATTAATAACCCTCTAAATGACCTAAATAATCTAAACCGACACAAATTGAACACAAGAAAAAACTAAAAATTCAGAGGGGCTCAGATCATACTTAATTTAGGCTTGAAAATAATTTCCAAAAATTTTGGAGAAATTTACGGTCAAATATTTTTTGCAGATACAAGTCTTAATAAATAATAAAGAAATGTATGTCATCGCCAACTTTTTAAACATCATAGTATTTGTAACTTAAAATGTCTTAAAAAAACAAAAAAACGGAACAGTTTTCTAGAAGAAGGGAAGGATGTCGTTATCATTTGAAAAAAATATTAATTGACAACATTACAATGTTTATGTTTTATAAATATGGTGATTGACAGTGTCTATGTAACTTTTAAACAGCGGATTGATTTAAATTAAGGATTTAAATCCTTGAGCACTCAAGATAATTGCAACATTTTGTTCATCACTATTTACATTGATTCCGTGTAACAGACGTTATGAGAAAGCACACTCTACTATAATGTTTGTGATGCGAAAAAACATAGGACCAGAGCTTAGTAGTCTCTCTCTCCTAATATCTGATAGAACGATGCGTAGCTTGAGAAATTTTAAACAAAGAAAGACCTTTGCAATAAATGTAAGAAAACACGTGTTCGTAGGACTCAACAATTTGTAGGAGATACTGAAAAACGTGAGACAAACAATCAATTTCTAACGTTCTAAATCCGAATTTATAAAAGTTACGAAATGGGCTCAGAAAACGAAAACAAAGTGAACGGTTATTTTTTCTTTAGGCCTGGGTCGAAGTACTATGAAGAAATAATGGGAGATGCAATTCAAAATTAGAAGTGGGAACGCGTGTCTAAATATTTGTCTTGGCAAAGCTTAAATTTGTTTTAATTGCCCAATTTCAAATATCGCGTCTATATTTCCTTGTGTCTTGAAATAACGGAACATTTATTTCTGCTTGCGTAATCAATAAATTATCGACATGCACATGTACATTTTATATTACATCATTTCGTAGTAAAAAGTCTATTGGTTTAAAATTAAAACAATATAATAGTTCCTAAGGTGTAGGTAACTATTGAATGTATGTATAGGGTGTCCCCAGAGAATAAGAGCGTATTTTTTTATGAAATTTGAAGTTGCTCACCAGAACTCAATTTACATAAACCAATCGTTGTAGTTACGAGACTTAATTAATTCAAAAATTTGTATTGAAAATTCATCATTATATTTAATCGCAATTAAATTGTAAACGAATGGTCTGATCAATTGTTTTCATGCCCTAACTCATTTTAGAGCTTGTAGATCTTCCTTATAATGATTTATAAATAAATCACAAAATGAATGATCTTCTTTGGAAGTTCTACATAACATTTAACGCGAAGTGCAGTTCTAATCAATGCCAGTTTTTAAGTAATACTGGTTGTAATAAACTAAAGAGTTTTACTGATTGACAATTTAAAGTGCTGTTGATAGAAGATTAAAATATATTTTGTTCTTAATATAAAGCTTTTTTTGCTGATGAAGTTGATTGATGAAGTTTGCTATTGAATGGGATTGCGGATAATACACTTTTAAAAACATTTCAACATTTACAGTTACTTAATTTACGCCATTAAGCCTAATTTATCTAATAAATATGCATTATTAATTCTTGGATCATTTGATAATATTAACTAACTCCATTTTCAGATGTTCAGAATTGTAGATTGTAATTTTTTATTTAGAAAATATGCTTGCACTTACATGGCAAAAAGGAAGTAAGTAAGTGTATAAGAAATTCAGTGTCTATTAAAATCAAATAAAAAAATGTATTACTCAGCTGTGGGCGTGTGCATACAATACTCATATATCATGAAGTGGAAAACAAAAGTGCGCATAAATTAAGCTATTTTTTCATATAACAATACTTCATAAACATTCATCATGTGTCTGTGGATATAACAATCCATACATCTATTAACGACTCATAGTAAAACCGTAAAATGGTTATTTTTAAACTTGTTTGCAGGTTGCTTAGATGGAAATAGGTTTCACGGTGATATTTTTAACATTCATTTTATTAGCCAAAATTGATGTTATTGACCAGTAGTATTTTAATGCAAAAAATACTTTTTTTGGGTTAAAACTCCATAAATGACAATATCAAATACTTATTAAATATATCTGATGATCTATCTATTAGTTAATGGTGTGTTAGTATTTATTTGCTCTTTCATTCGGATAGTTCTCACAGATTTGTGCTAATTTTTGCTGTCAGATTAAGTACATGAGCAAAGTAAAAGACTTGCTGACTCATTCCGATTA